TACATACAAAGAGTGGACATAAAAATGTTCTGCCCATTTACGGTAGTAGTTTTTGAACCCGGGGGTGCAAGGACATTTAAAGAAATGCGTCAAGTGATTCTGATGTTATACTAACGACTGTTTTTCAGTTTAATTATCAATAAAATTCTAACTCATAAAAACAAAATAGCGTTGAAAGCTTAATAGGGACACAAGACAGACAGGCAAGGAATTTACAGGGAAGAAAAGATAGACAAGGCAGGTAGGTATGTGGGTGGTAGAGATGGACTGACAATAGACACACATACATACTCACGGAGAGAGAGAGAAAGAGGTTTTGTGCGCCATATAAAACAGCTTAGCACTGCACGCCATCAAAAGAACTCCTGCCATGTAGATGCGATTAAAAGTGACAGACCCAAATACTGTTACGATCGGCGACGAAGTCGTCTTACCGGCCAGCCAACGGGCCATCCGGTCACCAATGAGTGTGGTCGTTAAAGCTTTTAATTTTTATAGTGATGTATTTATCATGTCGGAACTTGGTGCCACACGAGGAGTACAGTTAAACAAAGCTTAAGCTGACTGAGGCCCCTGTTCTCTATAAAAATATAAGAGACTTAGCCACTGCCTCCCCCCTCCCGTTTTCTTTGCGGCGACGACACTGATATCGACTTCTTCCTACTCGAGTACAAAATCTCCAACAACTCCCGACAAAGATACTACAAACTTGTTGATGAAATGTTAGACTATGCTTTTAAAACTCCTGGTAGGCGTTCCCGGGCTTTATTCTGCAGAGGAAGAGGGGGGGGGGGGCGAACTGCCTTCAAAGCAAGCATGTCGTACAAGCGACTAAGGGAGCTTCCTCTTAATACAAATAAACACATCTGTAACGCGGACGTGCACACACAACATCAGTTCTAAAACAAGATTAAAGTCCCAACATAGATGTGAACAACAAGAAATTTCAAGAGAAATTTACAGCCGGTGAACGCAAATATAAAGAAGAACAAGAAGAACAAGCTTCTAAAATTATCGTTCAACAACAGATCAATTCCAGTGATTTCATTTCTAGAAGAAGTTAAGAAAATACATGGAAAGACAAACTGCGGTCTGAATACAGCGTGCACACGGCAACGTGGCGTGCAAGTATGCGCACGTTCGCGTACTAGCAGTGAATGGAATTTCAGCGAAAGAAAGACAACAGTGTCTGGCAGTTGAAGGCGAAGATGACTCCATGGATGAATCATGCGGTAAGGAGAGAGGGAGCAGGCAGACAGGTGCGGCTGGGATACATGACGTGGCCGAAAACCCGGACTCAGGCTCAAATCTGGAACCTGGGCTCTGAGTAGCCTAGAATCTGGGGCTAATCTCCGCGGTCATCATATAGTTTTTAAAAGGAGTAGAAAATTTTAGGGAAGAAAAAAAGTTGGTAAGAAACAACAAACAGTTTATGTTAGCTTTACAAAATCGATCACAATAAACGAACAAAGGACGTTGCGGCGATTAGCCTTCATCAGCACATAGAAAACAATACAGTACACATACACAAATATGCTCTATATACAGTGGTGGTCAAAGTTGGCAGCAGAGTACAATATCAGCCGGAAGCTAAGAGAATGCGTGATGACATTCTAGATGAGCTGTTTGGTCAGTTTTCTTTATTCTCCTCCCTCACACGCTCTCACTTGTCCTCATTCTTTATATATTCTCTTATTATTATTATTATTATTATTATTATTATTATTATTATTATTATTATTATTGTTCTTCTCCTCCTCCTTCTTCTTCTTCCATTTCTACTACTACTAGTAGTACTACTACCACTACTACTGCTGCTGCTACCAGTGCTACTATTGCTGCTTCTACTGTTACTATTACGGCTGTTGCTACAACTACTAGTACTGCTGCTGCCACAGCCACTACTTCTGCTTCTACTGCTACTATTACGACTGTTGCTGCTGCTACTACTACTGCTGCTACTACTACCACCACTACTTCTGTTGCTGCGGCTACTACTACCACCACTACTACTACTACTGCTGCTGCTAATGCGGCTACTACTGCCACTACTGCTCCTGCTACTACTGATGCTGCGGCTGCTACTGCTACTACCACTACTACCACTACTACTACTATTATACTATAACTGCTGACGCTGCCGCTACTACTACTACTACTGCATCAACAACCTTTGACAATATCATGTTTATGAAACAACTAATATTTTAAGTGATGACATGAAGGGGGAGGGGGTGAGGTTGCTGGCAGTCGAGATGACAAGAACTGCTAAATAACATTAAATGTGACTCCAAAGGGAAACGGGACAAGTCTGTATCAACGGATTAAATAGAACACAAAATGTCAGTTTTTAAAAGTCAACCAAGCTTCTAATATTGAAGTTTGTTACGTATGTCCTGTGTGACAATATATTGGGCACACCCAATAGCGAAACAGAGAAACAAACAAGGCACTGAAATCCCCCCCCCCCTTTTTTTCCCCTTTTCCCCCTATGAAATGAGGAAGCAAGAATGCCCGAGAGCAAGCCTACAATGTAGTTTGACAAGAGACGCTAAAAAGTTCACGAAATAGATTCAGTCCACGATATGGACAAGACTGCAGAGGAAAAAAGGGAACGATAGTATCCAGTACCAGCCTAGGGTAAATTAAAATCCATAAAGGAAAAACAAAGAAAATGAGAATAAATCAGGCAAATAGTAATGTGGTTTCTCTTAGTGGCACCCCACTCCAACACGTGGAGTTGTACACCTATTTGGGCAGTAATGTAGATAAAGATGGAGGAACTGATAGAGATATTAAAAAAAAAAAAAAAGAATACAAAAGGCAAGAGGGGCTTTCACAGCACTAGTGAATTTGTGGAGTTCAAAAGAAATTATAAGAAATACTAAACTAAGAATTTTTAATTCTAATGTCAAATCAGTGCTATTGTATGGGGCGGAAACATGGAGAACTACTAAGACAATTACTAATACATTACAGACATTCATTAACTGGTGCCTGCGCAGAATAGAGGGGATAAAATGGTATGATAGAATAACTAATGTAGAACTTTGGGAGAGAACTAAACAGGCTCCAGTTGACCAAGAGGTGAGGAAAAGACTCTGGTGTTGGATAGGGCACACACTGAGAGAACAGCATAACTAGAATGTCTTTGCATTGGAACCCACAAAGGCATAGGAATAAAGGAAAGCCAAAAAACACATGGAGAAGAGAGCTGGAGAATGAAAGAAAGATAGGGAGGACATGGGGAGAGCTCCATGCAATGGCGAAGGATAGAACGACTTGGCGTGAGTTGGTTGAGGGCCTATGCTCCATTAGGGGATAGAAAGGCAGAAGAAGAAGACCAGCCTATGGGGCAAAGGAACGGTGGTGATATGCTCTGCGCGGAGTCTGAAAGCTAATTCCAGGAGCTGATCTGTACAAGTTCCATCATCATTACTGTCATCAAACAGGAAGTAGAATTTTACTATCGTTTCCTCTGTCCTTCACGTATAGTTTCCGGGGCTCCATGGAGAGGACGAGCGGGGGATGGATCAAACACACTACTCTCTGACATGAATGTCCTAAAAGACGAAGAAGTTTGTTTAAATCGGATGTGCCGGGCTGAAAAGTGCAGATATCGAAACCTAGCTGTAAACTATACAACGACCCTTTCACATTCGACGACAGAAGAAGGAGATCCTTCCCTCCGACTGTTTGGCTAATATACACAATATAATCCGCAACAACGACCACTTTTTACACCTAAACTTTCACAACCGGCTATTTTTCCTTTAAACGAGTTTAAAATTGCATACAGGAGATGGATATCCGGTCACTAATGTGTGGAAAATTGCCGAGTCTTGCAGAATGCCCTCTTTTTTTAGACTGACCCCATGCATGATTTAAAATGTAAGGTCTCTCTCTCTCTCTCTTTACGTCCTCTTTAACCGCTATGGGTGTCGAGGGAGATGTAAATGTAAGGTCGATGCGCAAAAAGTTGTAGGGTAAACGATTTATGCGTAACGTGGAATAATAAGAGCAAAATGTTGTCGTGTGTGTGTACGTGTGCGTGCGCAAGCGCGGGTGGCGGTAGTGATGGTTACTGGTTTTTCGTCTTCTGTTGATGTAGAGGTGTTCTAAGAGTAAAAGGTTAGTTGCGTATCATTTACCTGATGTTGAACAGCAGCCACTGGCTGTTGTGTGGTTTCTCTAGGCAAATTTACGTCCAGCAGATTGCCATTGCCCGCTGGTCGGCCGGCCCCCTGAAACCAACGCAAGGCGCATGGCCCGCAGCTGGGATCGAACCCGGCACCCCGGCATTACGAAGCGTTCGCATCGACTTAGCCTCAGAGCCGACTTTAATAGAAAGGGGATGTCTATCCATGCGCTCTAGATAATGACCGCCCTGCAGACTAGATGATAATGACCGCCCTGCAGACTAGATGATAATGACCGCCCTGCAGACTAGATGATAATGACCGCCCTGCAGACTAGATGATAATGACCGCCCTGCAGACTAGATGATAATGACCGTCCTGCAGACTAGATGATAATGACCGCCCTGCAGACTGCAGACCGCCCTGCAGACTAGATGATAATGACCGCCCTGCAGACTAGATGATAATGACCGCCCTGCAGACTAGATGATAATGACCGCCCTGCAGACTAGATGATAACTAAATGATACTATGAGCCTGCATTTAACTAATACTTACAAACTCGATCCTCGCCGGAATTACGGAGTATGTATGTCAGTGCGGAGATCCGATGCCGCAAAGTCTATAATAGGCGATGGCTACCATCTTAGTGACAGTGCATGCTGGGATATGCCCACTAATAACCAGTTACTCCCAGGTCTAGCCAGTATTAAATGGGTACTAGGTAAAGTTAGGTGAAGTAAAGGCGGTCGGTGCGGTACTGAACACCATCACCCTAGAAGTACCGATTGGTTTAAAAAAAATACAGGTCTGTCACTATATGTTCTAAAAACGAGGAAAAGGAGGGGGAAACCTGTGATTTCATAGGAAAATGGCGGTACCTGTGTGAAGTTGGGGAGATTCTTTGCCAACCAAACTACCCATGATGACACTACAACCCTTGTCAAAAGCATAACTTGAAAAATAAGTTCTTTTCTCCTTCCATGCTTTGAAAACAATTTTTTTTCTGTCGGCACATTTTGGAAACAATTTCTTTCCTATCAGCACATTTTAGAAACAATTTCTTTTCTATCTCAGGACAAAAGCCACAACTTAACAAGGAAAAGTCGAGGAATTGTTCGCGTGGGAGCGTCGTCTTCACTCTCTATGGTTAATTTGTGTGTGTATGTGTGTGTTATTATGTATTTTTGCTTTAACTGTGTTCTTTGTTAAACTGAGCAGGGACTTCGGTAAGTAACAAGTGTTAAATGTCTTCACAGATAACAGCGCACATGGGACGGCAACACATAATTGTTGAATGTCATTTGACACATGCGTGTCACTGTTTCCACGCCCATTAGTTTCTTTCAATACACGGTTAAATATTTTTACGTTTTGCTGACTTCATAAACATGCTGACGTATGAAAGACCGAAGAAGTGAAGAAAAGGGAATAAACAGGGGGTGGGAGAGGCAAGAGAGACATTTTAGAGTTGACCTCATCGTAAAGATCAAACCGGTTAAATGTCTGATGTAGAGGGTTTTGTTGATTCAATTATAAAATAAACGCAGTAGTTAAACATGTGGTACTGTGGGTCAACGGCTGCTTTGAACATTTATAAGACAACAAAGATGGCAATGTACTGGACAAATCCACAGAAGGAGCCAGAGAATCATCAAACAGTTACAGACATGGGAAATACATCGATTGGGGAAACAAGAATGCCCGTAAATAAATCTAAGACCAACAATGATGAAAGTGGCCAAAGGTGCTGGACTGGTTTTCATCCACAATACTGAAACAGATGCACATGATGCCGTTGTTAGTCCATCTCAAGTGATGATAACCACTCTTTCTTTCAACCGAACTGAAACCATAGTAGAATGTCTGTGAGTCCTGAGGTGACTTATCAGCCCAATAGGGACCCAGAAGGACCAAGGACGTGTTCTCAAAATATGGGTAGCGACTCTTTTGGAGGTCATTCGACCCTTTAACAAGGGTCACCAAAGACTATCGGAAAACACATATTCACTGATATTAAGAAATAGCAACGAAAGTAATTGTATGGCTGGGGTCGCCACAACATGAGGAACTGTATTAAAGGGTCGCTGCCTTAGGAAGGTTGAGAATCCCTGATCTAGGATACTGAGGGCAGGGTAAAGTGTGTGCAGATAATGGGCCGGTTATACGGGTCTTTCTGTCCTGTCTTCGCTGTTCAGCTGCCCTTTTTCTGGATGCATCGCAAGTGGCTCCGGCTCTTCGGAGAGTTGTTTACCATGTGGTCGGGTCTAGTGCAACAGCCTGCCTAGTGTCAGGGTTTATGCTGAAGTCTTTAAGGGATGCCTTTTGCTGGTACAGGTTGCACAGGACATCATGTAATGGAAGAATAAACTGCGAGCCCCATGTGGTGTATAACTGTACCAATGAATGATCTTTTCAGTCGTCATAATATTTCCAGTGCATACATGTCCAAGTTATTTTGTCATAACTGACGTCTTTGCGTGTTGGATATTTCCAAGAGTGCTTATAATCTGGTGTAGCCGCCATTGCCTGGTTCCTGCACAGACCCCGCCCATGAGCAGTGGGCTACATCATCCACTGTGTCCTATGGTGAACGAAATCAGCCTAAATGCAAGAATAAACTACGAGCCCCATGTGGTGTATAACGGTACACATGGATGGTGATAGGCCCTGTAACACGCAGGGACCCAGTAACACAGATGGATTCAGTAACAGAGGCGTAACACTGTTTATCTGTGTGTAAATGCACAGCAGACAGTCCTCTTTCTTTCTACTTGCCTGGCACACACGCCTTTGTGAGGGGGGACACCGCAGATATACATATAATACACAACAGGATAATCGTCAGTTACAGCAGGCATCAACTAGGAGGATAATATAAGAAGAAGCCCCTTTGTATGTTCTTTGCCTGTCCGGAACCCGCTCGCCGCCAGGAGAACAGTATGGTCTTGTGTGGTTAGCTCCACCTTACATCACCCGTTACCCCGGTAAAGAAGACAGATCTAGCCGGCTCTGTCAAGCTGGCCACCCAAACGTTTGCCAAGCAAGAGGTGCATACAACTAACGAGAATGTCGTTTAATGGACAGCAATGGCTATTGTCACTCCGTGTTGATGTAGTGGTTCTTTCATTTTATCAATCTATCCTCTCCTAGGGAGGACTCTTGGTTTTACTCCAGATCTTTTTCATGTGTAGCGCCTGCGTGGGTAGTTGTTCAGCTGCATTCTTACTAGATGACCAAACCATCTGGTGTTTCTCGCTTACTTTGCTGCATGGTGTTGTTCTTATAGCTTGTCTGATATCATTGTTATCTTTGCCTCGGACAATTTTAGTTTATATCACTGACAATAAATATCTGCAGCATCAATTATTTTCCCGTTTTGTCATCAATTCCAGAATCGCTTGGATAGAATCGGCGCTATGACATACACAACACAAATCTCTCTCTCTCTCTCTCTCTCTCTCTCTCTCTCTCTCTCTCTGTCCCTCTCTTTCTCTGTCTCTCTCTGTCTCTCTCTGTCTCTGTCTCTCTTTCTCTCTCTCTCTCTGTCTGTCTCTCTCTCTGTCTGTCTCTCTCTCTGTCTCTCTCTCTGTCTGTCTCTCTCTCTCTGTCTGTCTCTCTCTCTCTTTCTCTCTCTGTCTCTCTCTCAGCAGATGTCGGAGTGTAGGAAAACTAATGATTCCCTCCGCGCACTCCCACAGGACACAATACGTAAACAAAACACACAGCTGTGGAAACGTAGATTTCTTCCAACAGCCTGGCTTTCATGGAGACCTGCCGATGACTCATTGCAACCAGCTGACCAAGAAACGGCTGATGAAAGAGAAGTAGGACGCAGCTGGTCCGAATTCCGCAACCAGGCCGGCGCTAAAACTGAATGCGCGCGCGCACGTGCGTGTATGTGTGTGCGTGCGTTTGTGTGTGTAAAAAAGGGAGTTGGGGGTCACATCTTAACATAGGAGTTGCTGTTGGGGGAGCTAAACAGACGAGTTTCTGCTTACAGACGGGAGAGGTTCAAAACAATGTTTCCCCGTTGAGAATTTAAATAATGTGTACACAAACGATAAGTAGGGTGTACCTGTTAACAAGGGGAGCCGTCGAATGTAGCCGCTAGAAACTCGCCTACGGATCCGAAGGTAGTAGAATCGAATCCGAACGGAGCCGAATTTTGACCAGCAAAAAAAATTGACCTTGGCTCTCAGGTCGACCCAGCTTTGAGTGGGTGCCAGGTAAAGTCCTGTGAAAGTAAGGCGGGGTGTGGGGGGGGGGGGGATGCTGTTGTTGACTGAACCAACCGAGTGCCGATTAGTCCATGAAATATAAGTCTAGCACACTAGGCGTGAAGGTGTAGTATAGGGTTCCGTTTACAACTTGAGAGAGACTTCGGTTTTTGTATTTTAGTTGAAGGGATAAATTGTTGTGTTTCAATAAATGTTGGTTAAGCTCTGTAGTAATGCACCTGATCGTTTCCGGGAACACCTCTCCGATATCGACAAGAAGACACTCAAACCAATCCCTCTTCATTTTAATAGCCCTGACCACAGCGGTAAAGATGACATATCTGTCACAGCATTAAAATCTTGCTCTGGCAATCATACTACCTGCCTCGCTTTGGAAAATCACCTTATCCACAACCTTGGCGTATCAATATCCAACATACCTTCATCTTAATAGTTCTAATCTTATCACATTTTAAATGTTAATTATTTTATTTTATTATATATTATTACTTTATTCTATTTCTTATCAGTATCATTTATGTATCATTTACAGTCGTATTTCTTTTATTCCCAGTATTGTGACTATATTTTTTAGCCATCGTTTATTTTATTTCATTTATTTCACATCACATTTTTTTAAACGTCGCTCACGTCACCCCTTTGAGATCTACATACTCTCCATTCCTCATTTGTGAAGTTCACTTATGTTTGAAAAAGGCTGCCGGGCCGAAAAGTTACGTTTCGTTGTTTTGTGCACGTTTTCCTCTTTCCCATTTTGTTGAGCTTTTTAGTCAAATTTCTTTGGAATTCCTTATAGGCAGTGAACAAAGCCATTCTAAATTAGCTTATATATAAAATAAACAGACAATATATTTTATCGGCACTCACAGAAAGAAAGAAGGGTTCATAGTACACCTGTTTCCATAGTGAGGCGCACACGCCATCTTGAGGTGACAGATTCGATTCCCAATTCAATTGTTATGCTGTCTGGTGTTTCAATCTATCCTTCTACTTCTTTTTGTGAGTGTTTAAAGAATAGGCGGGAACACTTGGGTACGAACAACAACTTACCTGCTGCCGGGCAGAAACATAGAACCCTCAATGAACACGGAGCCTGTCAGGAGGACGTACCAACAAGTTGCCGGCTGGCCTTGGCTGCAAAGGAATGGTTGAAAACATTTTAATATTAAACCATAAAACACAATCCGCCTGCTTTGAATCTAACACATTTTGACCCATTTTTACATTAATGGGATTTTTTTTTTTTTTAAAGATCGTGGAAAACGGAGAAAAGGGGAGAGCAAGATGTGGAGAGACAGACATACACCCTCATGCCAACTGGCTAGACCCGGGACCTCTCTACTGCAGATGGAGATATTAATCGAATGCACTGTGACTAAAAAAAGCTACACGAAAAAGGGAAGGAAAACTGTTCCTACTTATAAGACACTATTTTCCACTGCCTATGATTTACTTTAAGTAGATAATACATATAGGGACGGATGACAGGGAGGGACTGGATGAGATAACGTAGGGGAGAAGGCGGAGCAGCAAAAGAAAAAGAAGAAGAGAAAAAAAAAGGAAAGGGAAAAGGGGGGGGGGGGGTAAGTAGTAGGAAAAAAAAGGGGGGGGGAAGAAGAAAGAAGGTGAAGCCAGTTAGGAGCGCCAGGCAGAAAGATAAGAAAAACGTGTTGTACATCGCCATACGACCAGAAACTGACCAATGTATGAGACTCGGCCCTGGCGAGCTGAATAGTTCCATCTGCAGTGAGGACGGCGTGTCGACTACCTACCATAATAAACACCACATAACCATCCTCGTCTTTGTTATACGTTTAGATTTCTCTACTTTTAGTTTGCCAGCTATCAACAAACAGACACACACACACAAGCAGCTGATTATTGCCTTATTCGTACTAACTTTGTGCTATCAATGCCATATACTGGACAGTCCCATGGAGAGATTTGATTTGATTCAAGAACCGACATCACAGCACTCGGGGCATTCCCATAAGCGCTCCGTCCCCATCTTCAGCAGCCAGCGAAGAGTTCCGATACTAATGGTGCCAGTAGCTTTCTGATTAAACGTCCGTCTTGCCTTTCCTCTGAGCCTTGAGCTTCTGCCAGAACCTCTCGTCATCCCCAACTGCATCAATCTCACCAGACTGTGGTGATCCATCTGCTCCTCCGAATTGTACACGCTCTCCCACAAGGCACTAACCACGTCTGCCCTATCATGTAGCAGTACTCCACCAAGTTGTGCAGAGAGACCCAGTCTGTCCGCCTGTTTATTTCCCAACACACCGGCGTGACCCGGTGAAAAAAATCCAGACAATACTCCTCACTCGTGTCCTCCGCAGCGAAGCATGCCACTCTGCACGAAGCATATCTGTTCTGATCTTCCTCAGCATGCTTCTGAGTCAGTTACAATCACAATGTGTGTGTTTGTCGTGTTCTCTAGCCAGCGGAAAGAGAGGGGGGGGGGGGGGGGGGGGGACATGAGCGCAAAACAAAATGACATGTGAGATGAGACGTTTGAGAAACGCGACGGTAAAACAAGAAGAGACTGGGTCACCAATGAAAAACTAAAAACAATGGTAGCACAGTCATCATCCTCATACAGTGCTTTACCGACTAGCGTGGGCGATCATGCCTCTCCACAATCTGCAACTGCGTGTATCAGTTTGTGTGTTGACTGTCAAGAATCTTTTCACGCTGTCTTCCTCTGTATCTCTTTCCACAGATATGTCCAGTGGTCACAACATGTTCCATTTTCCCTATTTTCATAACACAACTAAAAAAATATATGACTCTTTCTGGTGTTTATGATAAGTTGTCTTCGCCTCTTCCAAAACATCTAGGTTGCGCTTTCCAGCTGAGAAAGGAATTTCAAGGATTTTTCGGTAAAACCACATCTCCGCGGCCTCAAGATATAGTTCGACTTGTTTATTAATTGTCCAGGCTTCACAGCCGTATGTGAAAACTGGCTCTATATAGGAAGCGAGAATTCTGTTCCTAACCTTCAATGACATGAATTTATTGAACAAAATGTTCTTCATTTTGTCAAATGTAGTTTTGGCCTATCTTGTTCTATTCTTTATCTCTGTTGTACATCTTCAATCAAATGTAATCCGTGCGTCTAGATACGTTAATGTCTGTACTGGTTCTATTCTTTATCTCTGTTGTACATCTTCAATCGAATGTAATCCGTGCGTCTAGATACGTTAATGTCTGTACTGGTTCTATTCTTTATCTCTGTTGTACATCTTCAATCGAATGTAATCCGTGCGTTTAGATACGTAAATGTCTGTACTGGTTCTATTCTTTATCTCTGTTGTACATCTTCAATCGAATGTAATCCGTGCGTCTAGATACGTTAATGTCTGTACTGGTTCTATTCTTTATCTCTGTTGTACATCTTCAATCGAATGTTATCCGTGCGTCTAGATACGTTAATGTCTGTACTGGTTCTATTCTTTATCTCTGTTGTACATCTTCAATCGAATGTTATCCGTGCGTCTAGATACGTTAATGTCTGTACTTGTTCTAAAATAACGCCTATGACTTTTATTACATATTTAGGCACTATTCTTTTCTTGGAAATCACCCATACTTCTGTCTTTCCATTATTCAAACTGAGGCCCATTTCATCACTTTCTACCACCACCCTATCTATCAATTCCTGTAGTTCTTTCTCACCTGTCGCTATCAAGACGGTATTGTAAGCATAGCGTAGACTGTTTATGTTATGCCCACCAACCACAATTCCTGGCATATCCATGACAGATCTCATTATATATTCACTGTACAATGCAAACAAATCAGTACCACGACCAACCAACAAATCAGTAGAAAGTACCGGTAAATAATGTCATAGAACATCAAATGATTCGGTCATCTGGTCAGAACTGAACAAAATCAGCCAGCAGCTAGAGCGTACAACATGAGAACAGCAAGCAACAAGCCAATAGGCCGACCACGAAAGAATGAATAGAGCGGGTAAGACAGACACTACAGAAACGCAATATGACATTAACACCAGCTAGGCAACTAGCAAAAGACAGGAAACGTATCTAAAGCTCCTCCCTATGATGATTGACGGCGTAAGCACTAGGACAGAAGAGATTTACCTGGTACCCACTTAAAGTCCAGTCGACCTGGAAACCAAAATGCGGCTCCGTCAGGATCTGAACCTACGACCTTCCGATCCGCAGGCAAGCGTCTAGCCGCTACACCACGGCAGCTCAAAACGTGGTTAATACAGGTAGTGAATAAAAGTGTGTGTATGTGTGTGGGTTTTTTCTTCTCTTCTAACCATTATTATGTGTCTAGGAGTCTTCAGTGAAATTATAGTTAGCCATTTACGCTGAATTAAAAGTTAGGACGTCCTTCGGCATTTAAATCTTTTAATGGAAATATGATTGCATGTTACACATCTTTTATCCCACCCCCTCATTCTTGAAAAAATAATTACATTTCAAAAGCCAATCAATAAACATTTTTTTTTTAAATTATATCCACGCTTTCATTCCAGACAAAACCAACAAAGAGCCTTGTTGAGATTTCAACATCAAACATCGTCAATAAATATGAAATAACAAAAAATATAAAATCAACACCGGAAACAAAAGCAGGAGTATCTGTAGAATACATAACATTTTCAAGCCCTTTAACAGTAAAGTATTACAAATAATTTTTTTTTTTTTTAAAACACAAAGGAACTTACAAAACACATTTTTAAAATTAATTTAAATGTTCCTAGAGGACTTTGTTCTAACATTGAAAATGTCACTTGGTTTTATGGAAACAAAAGATCTGACGATGTGAAATGAAAGGCAGACAAAACTGTTTAAAATAAGTAAAACAATCAGGCAACAGCCATCATCGACGACTGGGTCGTGCCCATTGGCTGTCCGGTGGACGGCCTTGTCGTCGGTCGGGACAGTATTTGGGTCTGTCTCCTACGATAGTACCAACAATGCAAGAGTCCTTTTCAGGGCTTCTTGGTTAGCAATGTTAAGCTATTGTATACGGCACACATAACCAAGTCACAATTATAACTAAAAGCTCCCCGTTGGGAGATGCTGGCTTGAACGTGACGATTTGTTGTGCTCAAAATCGGATCGGCAACCGCCCACACCGGAATACACCATAATCGCTTTCTGGTTCCCCATTCTTAGCTAGTATTAGTTAAGAATTCCAATGATGAACTCAACTTCACTGCAATCGGGCTTTCCCCATACTTGCTCCGTTCCTGTGCTAGTGATGGTATCATAACGTCTAGTTTGAGAATGGAGGTGAAGACAGTTTTTGCTGCCTTTCACCGGTTTGAGAATCAGCTGTACACACATGCCGTAATTGTAACTGACTAACAGCATGATGAGAAAGGTGAAGCCAGGCGTGGTTCGTGCAGAGTGGCAAGCATCCATTCAGAGGTCACGGGTAGTTAGCCTCCTTTAGATATTTTCTCCAGGTAATGCTAGTGTGTTGGGAAATGAGCCTGCAGACGAGTGGCCGGTTCTGCACTACTTGGTGGTTAACTGATCTATGACAAGCTAGATATTGTGAGAGCCCTTTGGGAGTAAACGAGACGCAGATAGATCATCACCGTCTGAAGGGAATGGCGCTGCGAGGAGTTACCAGGGGATCTAGCCGACCCTCAATACTGAGTGAAAGGATGAGACGGATATACAATAAGACAGTTACTGGTGCCATCGGAATTGGAACTCTTCGCTTGTTGCTGAAGATGGGGACGAAGCACTTATGGGAGTGTCCCGAGTGCTGCGATGTCGATTCTTTATTCAACATTCAATATTTATTCGACACTCTCAGCATAATGACTCTTCGTTGGTCAAGGGTGAAGAAGACGAAGCACGTGTGGGAATGACTCGAGTCAACTCCTGATTTATTCATTTTAATTCAAATGTTACCAATGGCAGTCTAGTTTAAATGACAACCATTCCCTTCCTCTAAGTGTCGGTATCGACCAAATCCCCTGGTTAACCTCGGCTGCACCATTCTCCCGCGACAGAACTGTTTATCCATAAATACAACTCTCCGTCCAAACAAACCACATCAAAAACACTCGACACTAGCAAGAAATATGAGCCCAGCTCATTAACTACTTCCAAAACATGATGGGAACGACCAACTTT